CAACAAAAGAAGGTGGAAGGATTACAGAGTCACTGTAACAAAATCACATAGAACCATTTCAGGAAATAACATATCAAGAACCAATAGTATTAAAGGAAGGAACCCAAGTTGTACTGACAGAACTGACAAAAAAAATTTAACATTTGTGCCTTGACATGTTTTGTTTTAGTTTGTCTTTATGGCATGAAGTATGGATCTTATTTTATTTTTCTGTATGTGCAAATCTGTGAACCATTTGTTAAAGAGACTATTCCTGCCCTAATAAATTAATTAGGCTCACTTGTTTAAAATCAATTGCCTTTAGTGAATTCTAAGCTTTAATAGTCCAGCCTCTTCCCTTTACCTTCAGTCCTAAAAAGGAGATGCTTTACCCTGTGTGATGCTTCATAATTCTATTGACCTTGTCTTCTGAGTGGGCCCTATTTAATATGTACACTCCAGCTGGTACATGAAGAATGCTCAGAGCCCTGTGAAATGAGGCCCCTTCCTCTTGGCTCATCTAATGGCCATCCCCACCTCTAATTAATGGTCAGCTACTTGCCTGTCCTATGTACCATGAGGGATACTCACAACCTCATGAAATGAGGCCCCTTCCTCTGGACTCCTCGTATGGCTAAACTACCCCTCAGGTCAGGCATTTTTCTGTCCTGTGTGCTCAGCAATATCTAATGACCAAACAGAGGTTCCTTGGGATTAGGCAAATAAGGAAGGAGTAGGGTTTCTGGACAGGACATACAAGCCATATGTGCCTGGGGCAGGGGAGAAACTTTTTTCTGGCTGTCCTGGCCAGTGTTTCAGAGTCATCGCTGAAACAAGGCCACATCCTTTCTATATCGAGAGTACAGGTCAGTCCTCAGCCCAAGAGCAGGCACACTTCTCAAAGAAACCACACGTCCATGTGCATGTGCTTTCTCACAAGTTCATGGTTATTCCTGAGTCTTATCTGGGGACACAGACACAGAGCCTTGGGTTAGGTCCAGGGGATTTGAGCCTTCCCTGGTGACCAAGCATGTTTGCATCTGCAGGATGGGCCTGGACTCAGGCAAGGCCACATGCGTGGACCATACTGAGCCACCCTGGGAATAGATACTGAGACTGGGGCAAGCAGAGCTGAGCACTCTGGCCACAGAATCATTTCTAATTGAGGCTTGAAGGCTGTATGTAGCTATTCACACGTGAAAAGTATTCACGTGAAAAGAGGAAAATGCATACACCAGGATAGGCAGGTGAGCCCATCAGCAGAAAACATGTCTGCAATGACTGTGTGTGGCTTAGGGTGAAATACCTGTAGTGATAGGAAGTTGTGAACCTCAGGACTGAAGGTATCCTTGCTGACAGGTGAGTGTGTGCCTGTGTGATGACAGGTATGTATACCCCAGAGTAGGGCTCGTCTGTGAAGACAAGTGAGTGTGTGCCTTAGGACACTGTGTGTTTGATGACAGATATGTACACTCCAGAGCAGGGCACACCCTGGTACTATGCATCTGCAATTGATGGGTGTGTACACCCCAGAGCAGAGCATGTATATGAAGACAGGTGAGTGTGTGCCTCAGGTCACAGTGTGTCTGTAATGACAGGTGTATACACCCCAGAGCAGGGGTCATCTGTGAAGACAGGTGAATGTGTGCCTCAGAACACAATGTGTTTGTAAAAACAGATGAACCTCAGTGCAGAATGTTTATCTGATGACAGTAAGTGCGCCTGCGGGAGCTGTGTGTCTGTCTGGGTGTATGTGAAGGGGCATTGGAATGAAAGTACATGTAAGTAGGTGTCTCATAGGAATGCAAGAGGTGAGGAAAGAGAAGGTGGCCACTTAAGACCCATGGAAGACAGACAGCACATGAAAGAGCTCAGCCCAGGGGTGCATAATCCAAGGTCTCCATGGTTTAGGATCATGGTAATGCCTGTAATGTTTGTAGCACTGGATTGGAATGCCCTTGTAGAAAAAATTAATCTAGTCATCTGTCAAAAGGAGTTCCAGAGTGGCCATTATAGAGAAAGAGTTAAGGAAACCATCCCCAAGTTCAGTTTCTGTGGTTCCAGCAAACTCCAAAAGTTTCTGGAAGGTGGAAGGGCTCAAGAGGTGGAAGCCTGGCCATGGCTCAGATCTTCCCAGCACATTGAAATTAGGATATGAGTGCCTGAGAAGGGAGGCTGTCCTAAACACCCAACAGACTCCACACTTTATAGACAGCTGGGGAGGATCAAGGTAGGGGAAAGGGAGGAGGAGTTGGGGAAATTTGCATGCTTTGAATGATGACTGAATTATCAGGAGTTACCAAGAAAATGGAATAGCACTTCTTGGTAGAAAATTTGCAGGCCAGCTTCTGGAGACTCTGTGCACATAGTCCTGATGTGCACAGACCAGCACATCTTTCTGCTCACCAAACTTCTGTTGCTTGTCAAGATGCTAAATTTCTGTCTCTAGAGGACAAAAATATACAAAACTGAGAGGTACTTTTGTCTGCTTGGCTCCTGCCAGGTATTCACACACATGCACCAGAACAACATCACAGTGGTTCTTTCTTCAGGACATGACATTTCAAATCCAAGCTAAAAAGCCATGTAGGTACAGCCTACCGATACAGCCTGCACAGATCCACGCTCCCAGGTGGCTTCCATATGATATCACCAGACTAGGCATCTGTCATCTCTCAGGTTTCTGCAAAAGAGCCCCAGCAAAAACACCCCAGAATGGTCTATTGCTTCACTTGTAGTTAGCTCCTGCAAAGAATAGCTTGTTCTTATGGAGCTGTGGAGACGAAGTCTTGGATTATGGAGAAAAGAGTCAGAAATTTACAGAGAAACAAAGGTTTTGGGCCTCTCAGTTCTGTGTCTGTCAGTTTACTGTACTGTGGTAGATTGTGTGTGCTGTGTGATGCTGGAAAATATACTACTGGTTTTCAGACACCAGCAGGGTCATCCATGAAGGACACGTTTCAGTGCAGCTTCCAGACTAAGACTGACTCCAGCAAAAGGCATGAAGGTCTCCTTTTAAAAATTAGGCAATAAAAACCCCTATCAATTATAACAGAATATTGTCTGATACGTTTGTAGATAAGTTCTCTAGGTTGGAAGGCATTCTAAATACACAGAAGACACCACAATGGACAGGACATTTCATTCTGCATGCACCCAGTTGCCATCAGTGACAAGTTGATAGCACCTAGCAACAAAAGAATTTCTAGCAAAGCTGTGGACAAGCTACTAGTACTCATCAAACAGAGAAGCCTCAGGAGAGGAGGAACTGGTTATAAAAAGATCTGTGTTTTGGGTCCCTATCCAACAAAAAAGAAGGCTGAACTTTCCGAGAAGAAACAGAGAGTTCTACTTTGGATAATGGGTCTAGGAAGCACCTCATGCAGAGAAGGGAGTCACAGGAAGTAAAGATCAATACACAAAGCCCTCTGTCCCGTCAGACTTGCAAGTTGTGTGTGTGTGTGTGTGTGTGTGTGTGTGTGTGTGTGTGTGTGTGTGGTGGCAGTATATCCGCAGGTGGGATACTGGGCAGCTGCTCTCAGAGCTGCCAGTGTGCCTCCTTCCTAGTGTTCTCCCTAGGGCTGAGGACCTCTTGTTCTCTACTGTTGAGGTGAGTTGGCATCTGAGTGAAGGATTGTGGGCATGGAGAGTGGATCTGCAGCTCTGTCCTGGGGGGCCCTGGGCCCCCAGATGCTCCTGCTTTACCTGGGCTGCTCTGAGGATGCTCTTGGTGGGACTTCTCACTCCAAGATACTCTTACAGTCCAGCTTTGGGGAAAAGGCAAATTTAGCAGTGTTGTTACTGTCCTCTCTCTAAGAGACTAGTAAGCCATAAAACCAGAAGGCACTGTGTGTGATGGGAACCAGGCAGGCATCCCTGGACCCCTGCCTGGCCAATTCTAGCTCCTACTCAAGCTACAGTGGGCTGCTAACTCCTTCCTAGAATGGTGAAGAGGAATTTCCTGTTAAAGGAGTTGTTGAGCTCTGTGCCTTTCTGAGACAAGCTTAGGAAGCAAAACCCAGGCCTTCTAAATGGCCCTAGTCTTCAGGCTGGAGTATGCAGGCCCAGACTCAGGTAGCCTGAGCACGCCGCCACACCCACACTCTGCCATTTTCTAATCATTTTCAGATACGGAAGACCCTTGCAGGGAGCTGGGAGGGCCATGGGACATGTAGATTTTCAGTGGATCTGCCATGCCTCCCAGACCTGCTCCTGACCACAGTCCACCATAAGTTGTCGCCAGTATTTACCTGGCTTCTATGATGTCAGGAAGGCAAAACCAGAGTCCAAGAAGCCAGACATGATTCATATGACATCAGAAATGCCCGTGTCCCAAAGCCCAGTGGCTGTCCATCATGTGCTGCATAGGCTCCTGGCCTGAGAGCCTTTCCTGTATGGCTTGTTTTCAGTTAAACCTACGTCTGAGGGGCTGAAAATCACAAAGCAACCTCAGAGGCTCCACCTGGTCTCTGAGGCACAGGGGGATGGGGGCCAAGAGAGCAGGACCCTGGTAAGCCTTGCCCATAGCTTGCCCCACACTGCCATCTGATTATTTCCTGGCCCCACGTCCAGCTCTGTGTTACAACACGCAGGATGACTTCCTCTCTGGAGGCAGTTCCTGCACCGCTGCTGATGGGACACCCACCTGACATGGCACATTGTGGGCTTTGCTGGGCAGGGCACTGGTCTTCAACCTTTACGTGTGAAGGGCAGCTGCGGTGATGAGCGGAGAGGAGTACCTTTGACTATGCTTCTAACACGCGTGATGCATCGCAGTTCTCGTCCAGCAGCCCTACTCAATGCCTTTTTCCAGCGCGCCACACCAGCCACAGCCCAGGGCCGCTATGTTCACACAGCTGTCAGAAATCAGGCAAGTGCGCCTGTGCCTTCACTCACTTCTTATACCCCAATAGCATCAGGATGGGAGCTGACAGTGCAGTGACAGGGAGGCGCTCCAGGTTAGGGGACAAGGATGCGAGCCGCTGTAGGGTAGAGTGCACTACCCCAATCCTAATTCTTACCTGCACACTACTGGCAAGAGTGGAGGTTCCGCGGGAGGCGAGTGGCCGCAAGGTGGGGACTGGTAGGAGAGAAGAGTGGAGGTGGAGCTAGTAGTGAGTGGCGAAGACAGCAGCATACGGTTGGTTGTGAGCTGACTCTTGTGTGCCAACCCCTGCCATTCACCCCCAAACCGGTGCCTCCTAAACGCGCGGTCAGCGGAAGGCCAGAAGGAATATCAGCACGACATTGATGAAGACAAGGAAGGCCAAGACAGTGGAGACCACCACACGCTGGGCGCCGGGGGTCAGGTTGCATTGCAGCAGGGCCCGCAGTGCATTCCTTCCCGGGGGGCTGCGGTGGCTCTGGGCGCTGCGCCTCATGGCGCCGCGGCGGGTGTCCCGGAGCAGAGTCAGAGCCCGGGCGAACGACCTGGCCCTCCTCACCGAGCTGGGTGGCTTGGAGCGGGGTGTCCTGGACCTGAGTCAGGGACCCGCTGTATTACCGGTCCTGCACCTGCACCGAGGTCAGCCGGGAGGTGGGTGTCCTGGAGCAGAGTCCGGGCCCGGGTAAGGACCTCCCCGTCCTCACCAAGCTAGGTGGCCCGGAGCTGGGTGTCTGGGAGCTGAGTCAGCGCCCCGCTGGGCCTTTCTGGGAAGCTGTAGCTCAACTCTGGCGGTGGTGGGGCGCCGCTCACAGGCCGTGGCGACCGCAGTCTGGCTGAGAGACTCCACACTCCACTCGGTGGTCTCCCGGTGCCGAGGCCTTAGCAACCAGCAGTCCTCGTGGGCGGTGCGGGCAGAAGGGATGGGAGAAGGAGGGCCAGAGGAGGCGGGGCCAGGAGGGAAAGGTCAGAGGCTCACTGGCCGCCCAGCTCTTGGTTTCCTTTCCAGACATCTATCAGGAAGAACAGCAGAAGGCAGTGAGTGCAGCAGTGCTCCACTGGGCAAGCCAAACCACAAATGGCCATGGTATGGCTTAGGAAGCTTCCGGGGGATCTGCAGATACACAGAGGCAGGCCAAAGGACCACAGCCCCAACAAGTGTGGAGAAATGATGGGTCAAGGACTGGCACCCTCACACCCGCTGTGAAAATGGCCTGCCTAGTAGGGAGAGCTTTGTGATTTGGCGTCTGTTTGCTCCAGTTTTGTGGTATCAGTGATCCTTAATTCCTGTATACTTAGTAACTTTCTCTTATTTCTTTCATGTTCATTCATGGGCACCAAATGACATCTGGCCAACCTCATCTTTCTATCTTCCTCCCCACCTTGCAGCTCAAGAGGGACTCCAGCTCTGCATGATGGTAGAAAGTGGATGGAGGACCTGTGAGTACTGTCAAAGCAGACCTTCTCTACTTGCATAAAGCGTTGTTCAATCCACACTGCCTGTTTGTACTTTCACTGGTGATCCCAGACCTTGACTCAACAATTTGGTGTAGCAAACAAAGCCAACACTCCATCCTACAAGACAGCAAGCCCTTGGGAGCAAGGACTGTGCCCTATGCAATATTGTGTTCCTAGTGCACAGCCGAAAAATACTCAGGAAAAGAAGTGAGATGCGTGCCACATACCCCCCCCCCCACACACACACAGAGTGCACATGCGCACACAGACACCATGCAACACGCCCTTGAAATGGACCCAGTATACAAAACTGCTTCATTGAACAGCACTTGATCCTGGACTTTAGACCAGAAGCATTCTTCCAGCTTAGGAAACTGAGAAGTGGTCAACTTTATGATGTAAAGACAAAACGAGGAAGCATTTTTAGACCATGACCTCTCATACTCTTAGAAAGTACAAGTGAAATGCTGTCAAATTCAGGTCAAATATTATTTAAGTAGAAAATTACTTTTACCCTTTCTAGGTTTTAGTGGAGCTTCCAGATTAGAATAGACTAAGAAAAAGTATTGTCCATCCACTTTGGAAGCAAGAGGTCTTCAAAACTATGAACAAGAGAGGAACATTGATAAATATAGAGGGAACTCTGGTGATAAGGAATTGTGCTGGTAGCGCAAAGGAATGTGGTTCAAATCTATCAGCTGTTCTATGGAAGAAAGATTGGCAGTCTCCTCCCTTGCGATTCACTGCCTCTGAAAACCCACTGTATGATCAGTTCCTATTTGATGGTGCACAGTAACAGCAAGAGATATTTCACTGATGATAGAGCACTCAATTAAAAGAAATTTTAAATCCATTAAAAATAAAATAAACAGCTATAAGCATCCATTAGTAATTGAAAAATGTGGAGTATAAACTGAAAGTTGATGAAAATGAAACAGAACACATGTTGTTGTTGTTGTTGTATACCATCAGTTGGAACCAATGCATAGCTCAACCCCCAGCAGGTTTTTAGAGGCTGATAATCACACAGGAGGAGATTGCCCATCTTTCTCCTGCAGAGCTGCTGGTGGGTTTGAACTGCATGCCTTTGGAATTGAAGTGCAGTTTCTTACCACTAGGCCACCAGAGATCCCTATAGAACACATAAAGATCGATATTATAGACTTTAGAAAGCTAAGATGGACTAGCATTGGCTACCTTGAATGAAGGTATGTTCATTTTATGTTGGAAGTGAAAAATTGAGAAACTATGAGGTTGGTTGCTTTTGTAGCCAAGTGACCATGTCAAAATTGATCCTTAATTCTGGGAGTTAGGATACTATTCACATTTATGCAAGGAAGATCTGCTAATACAAATTGAATACAAATATGGGTTGGTGTTGTTGTTATGTGCCGTCGAGTCACCTGAGACGCACAACGACCCTACCATGCACAATAGCTCTGAACTATGTCCTATCCTGAGCCAATCTCATTGCCTCTGATACATACCCTCAATACTCCAGTTACTGTGTCAGTCCATTTCCTCTAGATTCTTTCTCTTTTGCACTAGCCCTCCACCCTTCCAGGAATGATGTCCTTCTCCAAGGACTGATCCTTCTCAGCAACATTCCCAAGACAGAGCTTCAGAATCCTTGCATCCGAGGAGAAACTTGGTTTTGCCCTCTCCAGGACAAATCTGTTTGTTTTCTTGGCAGTTCACGGTATGTTCAATACTCTTCTCTGGCACCACAGCTCAAAGGCATAGATTCTTCTTCTATCGTCATTGTCCAGCTCTCTGATGCATAGGAAGCAATTACAAAGAGCATAGCCTGAATCAAGCACACTTTGGTCTCTAGACTGACATCATTGCTCTTTAGCACTCTGGAGAGGTCCCTGACAGCAGATTTTCCTAATGCAATGAATCCTTTGATTTCCTGACTGCTGATGCCAAGAGTTGATTGTAGAGACATGTAAGCTAAAACTGTGAACAATCTCAATCTCTTCTTCATCTTTCATAGTGCTGCCAATTGGCCCTGTGGTGAGAATCTTTGTTTTCTTGATGTTGAGCTTCAATCTATATTGAAGACTGCATTCCTTGACTTTCTGCAGCAAATGCTTCAGGTCCTCTTTAGTTTAGGCAAGCTATCTGCATAACACAGATTGCTAATGAGTCTTCCTCTAAGCCTGATGTCACATTCCTTTTCATAAAGTCCAGCCTCCTGTTCTGCATACAGATTGAAAAGGTACGGAGACAGAGTGCATCTCTGACACACTCCTTTCCTGACTTTGAATCATGCTGTGTTTCTTGCTCTGTTCTGATGACTGCTTCCTGCTGAAAGGGAGGAGAACTTAAAGCCCTTGCTGCAGGAAATCAGAGCCTTCAATATGGATTACATCTCAACATCAAGAAAATTAAAATCCTCACAACTGGACCAAAAGACAACATCATAATGGATGGAGAATAGATTTAAATTATCAATGATTTCATCTTACTTGAATCCACAATCAAGTTAAAAAACCTAAAGACATGATGTGAGCCCACCCTCAGCTCCCCCACCACACAGAGAAGCAATCATGGTATGAGGAGGAATCCTGGTGTGAACACAGTACAGCCTCCCCCTTGATCCCCTCCCAGATGAAAAGGGTCCCTAGATGCCTGAGAAGGACAGGGTTCAAAGTCTCATGAAGACAATCTTGTGCCTTACTACTTCATCCTGCTTTCTGGTCCTATTAGACTCTCAGAGTCTGCCATACTACCCTTCAGTTATCACTGAGGGAAGTAAGGACTTTTTCTCCACCATCCATCTAAGTGAACCTTATGCTCCTGTCACACCTTAGGGACAGTGAAGAGTGAGCAGTGAAGGCACCAGAGTAAAATCCCCCTGGGGCCTAAGGTAGAGGATTGAGACTAGACTTCTCACGGAAAAAAAAGAGTGAATTTGGGCACAAATTTGGATGCAGTGTGGTAGAGAAACGCCAGCTGAAGAAGAGGAGATGGATTGATTAGACCATGATTGGAGAACCAATGAATTTTGACAATCTGACTCATATTGGCTCTAGGAAGGTGGAGGCCAGAGATGGACTTGCCATGACAGGAGCCTTTTGGGAGCAAATGAAATCTAAAGGAAACCGAGACAGGAATGGAGCAATTCTACGGACTTGTAGCTCCAAAAGAAATGGTTCTATCACCTTCACTCTGTATCCAGCCCAGAAAATATGCTGCCCCTCCAGATCTCTCAGAACAAGTGGCCGCAGAGCCCTTCTTTTCCTGAGTCATTTAACAGTACTTCAGAAGACTTGGGGGCTGGACTCCCTCAACTCCCTCTGGTTATAGACCCTCCTGGAGATGAGGTCAGGGCAACAGGGCTGACCACATAACTACTAGTTAACCAGAAGAACTCAGCTGAAGCCCTGGGCACCCTCAGATCTCAGATTGGAGTTCTCTGAGTACCTGAGATGAGTTCTAGTCTCCTGGATGATGTCTGGGTCCTGGCTGTTTTTAAACCCTTAACCTGAAACTCTTTCAATGGGGGTAGGTGGACGAGGTTACAATAGCTGAAGCCAGATTTTCTGAGAAGCTCCCTTCCTCGATGCACTTCCCCGCTTCCCTCCTGGATGGGCAGAGGCTGAGACCACTGTGTAGTTCATTTTCTCTGTTTATATTTCAGACTTTAAGCTCACAGCCCCCCAATATCTTTCTGCAAATACTAGAGTCTTTCTCTTCTTAGGCTTGTAATCCTATATTTCTGTAGCATTACTACAGCCACAGAAAGTTTCCAATTTTTACATTAAGAAAAATTAAGATGAGTTTTCTTAATTGTCCCATGCTACTACTACCTCTGTTCTTAAACCTTAACTCTTGAGAGCCTTACTTCCCCACTGAATAAGAGTCAAGATAAGAGGCGAGTCTTAGCTTAGTGGCATTCCTCTTACTCATTTAAGTTCTGGAGATCTGTCTGACCGTTGGCCAACCTCCCTGCTTCCATTCATTCATTGTTGCACTTTTCTCCCTGCTCACCCCCTCCCCCCATTAGCACTTCTCTTTGAAAAGTAAAATAAAAAT